TCATTTTTAGTAAAGAAAAATAATCATATAGGCGCACTGCCCACAGTCATTCCAATGAATCCCAATCAAGGTACTGCATTCATTCGAACACTGAAATTGTCAAGATATTTTAAGAGGTGAGGTCAAATAATTTTAAAGAGTTCTAAAAGTTAAATACACAGAAATTAAGATGAATGGCTTACTAGATTTACAATTTTAAGTAATTTAGTAAACATTTATCATCACTCTTCTAGGACATTTGGGGGGGAAACTGTAATAAACTGGACAGATATCCTGTCCTCAATGAGAAGTATATGCAGAGGAACTGAAATACATAATTGAAAGTAGTAGAAGGTTTAAGGAGATGATTAAAAAGGAGATGATTCTTCCCAGATCTGAAGATGAAGGGATGACTCTTTGTAGTTCAATAATAAATCTATATCGACATAGAGTTAAGTCTTAAAGTTGACCTGGGATAACCCATCTCTCCTTTGCCTACCCTTTCCAGATTCTACATAATTAGCACATCCTCTCACACAGCAAGCAGGGTTCCAGGAGGGCTCATTCCTAGTCTGGGGGTGGGGGATGGCAGAAGAACATAAGGATGCCACCCCTGCCAGCTACCTGGTGCACACTCAAGTGGTACCATGGCCATTCCCCAGCCCTGCAAAATACACACCGTGAACAGTCAGTGGGTTAATGAGAACAGGATGATCAGAGAGAGGTCTGATGTAACTGAGATCTATGGAAGAGCTAAAGTCTCATCGTGGGGCATGTAGTCATCTGAAGGCACCAGCTATGGTGGTGGTGTCACTTACCACATTGTGTACACTGGTAAGAGTTTATTTAATCTCTTGTTTGGATTGACAGAATGAAACATTTCAATTAAAAATATGAAGTACATATTAAACATTGAGCAGAATTTTCTGAGAGCCTACTAGTTATCTCTCTCAATTCCTACAGTGAAATAGTATTTTCTTAACTAAAGTATTATGGTCTAGAGAGACAATGAATTGAAGGTGACAATAATTCCAAAATTATTCATCATAAAATAAAGCTTAAAGATGACTAAAGGCTATTTTACAATAAAATAAAACAATAAGATTTGTTTTTAATCTTCAGGTAAATACCACTGACAAAGATAGCAGAGTCAGATACATCAAGAAACTGATTAAAATGTGTGAATAAGTACAAAGGATAAAATTCTGCTAATATTATAAATGTTCAGATGATAAACATAAAGGCTTGATTTTGCTCGAAAGAACATAAATTTTTTTTAACTTTTGAAAAAAAAATTTAAATCCTTTTGAAGAATGAGTTTATGTCATTACTAAAATAATGAATCCAATTTGTTGATCCATAAGTAAATATTTCAATGGTATATAAAACTTAATTATATTTATTGTAAATTTTAACTCTCAAATATATCCTGTTTAGACAAAATATATTATATGATTATTGTACCATAAACAATAAATAAAACTGTTTTGAAATTTTGCATAAACTGTATCTTACTGAACATTCCTCTGCAATTTACAACCCATTATAAGAATAAAACACTGATTATTTATCCATTCTATTATTTAAAGACACCTATGTCATTTCTATCTTTTCACAAACTCCAATGGTCTTATTATGGTCATCTACTTAGATGTCTCCTCATGTAGTCTGAGTTCCAGAATATGCATATCAGGAATTTCATTAATTATTACGAAGCTGTGAATTAATTATTATGAAGTTCTCTCTGGTGGCTGAATCAACTGACATTCTCACCATCATGTATGAACACACTTTTTGCCCACACTTTTTGCCTGTTAGATCCTAACCACTGCTGGATATTGTTAGACTTTTAAATACTGGTCCATCAGGTAGAATGCAGTGATACAAGACTGTTATAACACTAATTTTTTTGTAATCAGTAATGACACCTGAACATATTTCCAAGTTAACTGATCATTGTTTTCTCCTAAGTGTCATTTTATCTACTACTTTAGTCCCTCCTATTTCTGTACCCATCAAACAAATCAATATTATTTTTTACACCAATGTTCATTTAGACTGATCCATATTTACACTTGTATCTTCTGAGCATCATCTCTCACATCCCATTTCGTCACCCTGGGATCAAACCCACTCCTCTCTGTTGTGAGAACTTCATGAGTTCTTTCAGACTGAGCACAAATACTCCCAGTGTGTGTCTGAAAGTGTGTTTATTTCCCTCTCACTTTTGAGCAATATTTTTGTTAGGTATGTTGGGTTTAGAACTCTAAGTTGATAGGTGTATCCCTCAGTCATTTGACATTACTCCAATACTGTTTTTCTTCTATTATTCCTGCCTCCCATGATCCATTCAAATTACTGTTCCATTATAAGTAATCTCTTTTCGTCATTTGATTTGGTCTTTTACTTTATTTATAAAGTGAATTTATTTTTACTTATCTTGATTAAGACCAATTGTGTGTTGTGTTGTTTTGTTTTGTTTTGTTTTATCATGGTTGGGATCATGTACTCTTGAATTAGAAGATTTATCCATCCTGGAAAATTCTCAGTATTCTCTTAGAAAACGGTCTCTCTTCTATTCTGTATTCTCCTATAATGAAACTCCTATCAGAAATATGTTTGGCCATCTCTTCCAAACTCCTAGTCTCTTTTTTTCTTTAAATTTTTTATTAACATATAATGTATTATTTGTTTCAGGGGTACAGGTCTGTGATACATCAGTCTTACACAATTCACAGCGCTCACCATAGCATGTACTATGTATGTATGTACTCCCCAGTGTCCATCACCCAGCCACCCTATCCCTCCCAGCCCCCTCCACTCCAGCAACCCTCAGTTTGTTTCCTGAGATTAAGAGTCTCTTAGGGTTTGTCTCCCTCTCTGGTTTTGTCTTGTTTCATTTTTCCCTCCCTTCCCCTATGATCCTCTGTCTTATTTCTCAAATTCCTCATTTCAGTGAGATCAAATGATACTTGTCTTTCTCTGATTGACTTATTTCACTTAGCATAATACCCTCTAGTTCCATCCACATCATTGCAAATGGCAAGATTTCATTTTTTGATAGCTGCATAATATTCCATTGTATTATATATACCACATATTCTTTATCCATTCATCTGTTGTTGGACATCAAGGCTCTTTCCATAGTTTGGCTATTGTGGACACTGCTGCTATAAACATTGGGGTGCACGTGCCCCTTTAGATCACTACATTTGTATCTTTGGGGTAAATAACCAGTAGTGCAACTGCTGGGTCGTGGGGTAGCTCTATTTTCAACTTTTGAGGAACCTCCACGCTCTTTTGCAGAGTGGCCAAACTCCTAGTCTCTTAAAACCATTGGTTTGCATTTTAACCTGTACCACATTATGGACAATTTCCCATATCTATCTTCCAGTTCACAAATGTTATCTTTGGCACTGCCAAGCTTGCTGTTTTAACCCATCCACTGAGGCCTTTTTTTATTCCAATAGCTAAAATTATGTTCTATTTAATAGCTCTTCTTCTAATATACTTGTTTTCTGTTTTAGGTTTCAATTCTTTCTTTTATGCTTTAATTAACATAAAATGTGTTTGTTTTGTGTTCTGCTTCAAATTGTTATTTTATTTTCTCAAGTTTCAGGGGAACCCAACCTTCCAGTATATGGTATACGCTTAACTTCTACTCATGACAGAATATCCCTTTGTTTGACTTGTAATGTTTGATGATGAGTGCCCCTTGAATAGGGCGTGGTTCCCTCTGGAGGTGTGGATGCCATGCTACCTGAATGTTCTCTAGGAATGCTTTTATATATGCTCTGCTTGAAACATCAGAGGCACTATAAATCTGAGTCCAATATTTATATTAACTTCCCATTCTGGATCACATAGGTACTGCAGAGGTTTAGATGGATCTCATTTTCCCCCATGTATTGCATTTTTTTCCAATTTCTCACATATTTTTTTTTCCAGTTTCCTAAGTGCTCAGTGTGTGTAAAGGACAGACTTCCTCCCCTCCACAACCTCCTCAAGACCACCAAGATATCAGCTCATGCACTTAAGTTCCAAGTTTGTCCATTCCTCTATTTAAAAACAACTGTGTTGTTTCTACTTGTCCACTTGTCCTTGGAAATTGTTTCTTTTTGTAATCTCATCTATGATTTTTTAAACTTTATTAAATTTTACTTAGTGAAATTAGCAAGGGATATTTCATATTATTTTAGGCCTCCATCTTGCTGGTTCCCAAACTCTCGGACACTGTGAAAGCCACAACAACCTAGAACTGCCTATATTCTCATTTATAGTATGTAGAAGAGAAATTCACTTATACTTTATAAAGTCATTGCTATTATTTTGTGTTTCCCATCACACACAGTCAAAAATAATCCTGTTATACCTTTGACTATTTCAATTGGAAAATAAAAGACTAAGGAAGACACATTAATATTGGCAAAATAGCAAAGGAATTGCCATCCTTGCTAAATAAAAGCAGTTTTGAAATGCGTTGTAAGGTGGAGAGAAGGAAGAACCTTTCACGCCAAGCGTGTTATTGACATTGCAGTATCTTGCCTTAGCACCTGCAAGTGACTAAAATTGCCTCTAAAGTTCTCTTTCTGCTTTTTAAAATTTCCCCACATCATCAGAAACATAATAAACCAAAATGTGTTTTAAGAAAATAAGAAACAGAAAAGAAAGGCAAAAGCTGAGAGGGACATATATGTATCTTAATCATATATTTTGACCCTAGCGCAAAGCCTCACATCCCCAGCACCCCTACTTCCTCAAAATAAATAAAACAAAACACTACTACCATGTCCTGACATCTACTCCATCCCTTCCCTTCATTCTTAATCCGAAAGCCCTGTTCCACTGTACTTACTAAATGCCTTCACCTCAAATTTTATAGCCAAGGGCCGTCCTAATGATGCCTCCTTCTAGGCATCTAGAACTTACCATGAACTGAATATGTACACACTGAGAGCCTTCCCTGCGGAGGCCTGCTGCACAAAGCGCTCTACTGGAGTAGACAAAGTCTGCACAATTACCTGGCCTTCCAGTTGGCAGGGTCCCCGCATAGTCGCTGTTCAGGATCACAGCCAGACCCACCGAGCGGGCCGGGAGGATGGAGCTGCCGAGGTCCACGCGCGTCAAGCTCTCAGGCTCTTTCTCCGAGCCCTCCACGGCAGTTCCTGGGCCGTCCTGTCCAGTGGCCTCCCTTTCTTGGCCTTTGCGCCAGGGTCTCAGCACGACATGAACGATGCTCTGCTGATCCAGGTCACAGCTCTAGGTGGGTGCAAGGCAGAAACAGACGAGAAAGAGCAAGCGTTAAAAGGCCAAGTAAGGTCTAACTTGTCCTCAATCCCAGAGTATGCAGAAGAGCCTAAAATCTGTTTGGGTCCAAGGTTGCACATAGTCATGGAACTTGAGAAAAGAGCCACCTGTGACTGATGGAGTTGGACACACTGTTGCTGTCGGTACGTGTGCGGGCTACAAAGGCAACACGGTGCTGGGGCCACAAACCGAAATGTGGGCGCAAACGGACCACAGCAACAGAAAACTAGAGTAATAGTCAAGGCAACAGGAGATCGAGTAGGGCAGAAATGTACCACACTGCATACATAAGCACAGTGAAAAGCAATATTTTTTTAAAATTGATTTACTTCAGAAGTGATGTGTCCTCCCAATTATCAAATATAAATACCAGCATCCATCTCCTTTTTAAAAAGCACAGAGAGTTGGTTATTGCCAATTACAGAGCATTTTTCTCTACAATTTAAAATAATTGTGTTTATGGTAGACTCCACACGCACCCCCTATGTCACCAGCAAACACATCCCCACAGCAATGGGGAAGCAAGCAAGGAGCATCCCCAGGCCATCCCATCCAATATCACAATCAAAATCAGTGAATATTTGCAAAAATCATCTGCACCAATATACTGATGTGTATAAACAGAAGACTGTAGAATTGACTCGAATTAAAGTTTGAAGTAGATAATTTGCTAGGACTATAACTAGACTACCAGAGATCCAAGCCCAGTATCAGAATATCTACTGGATAGAAAATCACTCATCTGTCTTCGCCCTCCTCCCTCAGAGCCAGGACCTCATTATCTCACTAAACCCCCAAAATTTCATTATCTGCAAACTACCTGTAGTCATGCTTTCACCATAGCAATGTTCAAACAACACCATGCACGCACAACGATGCTAATGACAGTCCTAACTGGTCCCCATCCTCCCTCCAGTGCTCCATAGCTGTCACCAGCAAATATTGAAGAGTGGTGCCCATTATGCATCGGGATTTCCTGCGGACACACCACTGTGGACTCAGAAGGTCACAGGATGCCCTCTGGGCCTCAATCCCATTTCTGCCTCTTCCACATCCCATGCCCCAGACCTCTGTCACATGGACATGCTTGCTGTCCCTGCCACCTGTCCTCCCAGCTCTGTGGTCACTGGGTCGTCAATCTCTGTCCCTTAGCCTGCCCCCACCTGCATTCCCCATTTTGTCAAATCACTGCCCTCCCACACGGTATCCCGGGTCAAGCCCTCCCCGCGCACTGACAACTCTGATTACCCTCCTATGTCTTCTGAAGGCTTCAGTATCACCGCCTTGGGTGCCTCTGCCCTAGGCTTACAGCCAGCGCGATGCTAAGAGTAACGTCGTTCTGCCTCAGAAATAGCCTTCACATCTTCTGCTCCCTTACTTCTCAACTGCCATCTCCCCATTTTAAGCCTTCCTCATTATACTCGCTTTGCAATCGCTCCCTGACCACTCATCTCTCCCTATAATCCATTATTTACGTATTTCTGGAGTTTGCTACGTAATCTTTTCCAACGTCTCCCTATTACCTATTACAGAGAATCTGACATCTTACTATCAGCTTCAGGTGTGTTTAGACTTTTCTCCATTCTAGATCACCTATCTTATGATTTTATCTCCTTTCCTCTCCTCCTCCTGACCTTGATTTGGGCTCCATCGCGTGATTGGCTTTGGCCAGTATGACTGAATCACGGCCTTTAAATGTGACCACCAGCGAGAGAGCACCCCTGGGTAGTTTCCGCCTCCTCAGCCTGGGCCCCACATGTGCACGGGGCGCAGTCCCGCACTCAGCCGCAGGGAGAACCGGGTGCCCCTGCACCCACAGCGGGGGCAGAGCCTTCTAGGGGAGGGGCAGCACCACAGACCCCCAGCTGACCTGGGACGCTCACTGACGTATGGCACTGAGATTCTGTGATTGTTCATTAGGCAATAAGAGCTGACAATACTTATTTTCCATTCTAATTGGACTAATAGACATTCTATCACTATTTATCACGGCCTCAGTGTTCAGCCAGAACTCTAGGAATCGCAGAGAGCCTTCAGCCTAAGTCATTTCAAATAAACCAACACCAAGATCTGAGTACCCTTGAGCAGGCATGCGAGGGCAGGAGCTGTGCAACAAGGGGGAGACAGTCAAGAATGAGTCTCCTAATGTCCCCTGAGGTTTTTATCCATAGTGTGTTCTTTTCAAGGAGGTTCAAGAATTCAGTCAGATAAAATTCCTCTCTCGACGTTCAGGATTTTTGTGCTTCTGATAAAAGTAATGCCTTTCTTTCTCATCTGAATGCCAGCAATCTTTGCCTGCCATGCGCTTCTTGCAGTTGGTCGGAGTGTGGGCAGGACTTGTGGTGTGTGTGTGGTGTGTGTGTGTGCGTGCGTGTGTGTGTGTGTGTGTCTGATCTTCAGACTCAGTTTAGAAATTCTTGAGAGCAGCAGCTGGGTCATACTTATATTTTTATTTACCAGAATGCCTCACACAGCGCTCTGAACCTAGTAGGTAGACAACATATGTCCATGAACGGGAAAGTCGAAGGACTGGGGCAGAAACAAAAATATAAATAGTCATAAACTCAATACCTAAAGTGCTCCATGAGGAACCAGAAGCCTGTGGAAGAAAGAACATGGAATTTAAAGCCAGAGAGATGTAATCTATTAGCTGTATGATTTTTGGCGAATGACTTCTCCTCCCTAAGCTCTAGTTTCTACATCTGTCGTTGGCAATAATAGCACCAACTTTGAAGACTACTCTGGAGATTTAAGGAAACAGAAGGAGTGCAGAGCCCAATCCACAGCAATAACTCAATACGCAGTTGTTAGTATCAGTATCACCATTCAGGAGTTTTGAAAACTCAACAGGATTGGCCCCTGATCTTGTACATCAATAAAGCCTCTGAATCCTATGAGGCTACCCCACGCACACAGTCTTACTTGGAGAATGGACACAGAAGGTGGAATAAGCAGGCGCTATAGATGTGATAATCACTCTGACAACACTCCAGCTTCCTGTGAACTAGAAATTGATGATAAAAAAAAAAATCCCTATCTGCTCAGATGCCATGAGACACATGAAGAATCTCAGCAAATTCTCAGAGCCTGCTAAAATTTGACAAACATGGAAGAAATCCAAAAACTGAGATTTTCCTTTCAAATCAAGATATTTTTTTGAATGTCCAGGGTAGAACTGGAAAGGGGCCTCTGAAGACTCCGAGCAGATTTCAGTAGTTCCAGTGATATGTATAGAACATATTTCTCTCAGTCTGCATCCATGGTTCTGAGATCATTGCTTAATTCTTTGACTTCTCATAAAAAACGGTGCTGATCTCAGCAGTCCCTTTGCCAGATGGTGCAAATGCACCATCACACTGGTTCAATTCAAAGCCCCATTAATAACATATTCCAGGGATGATAAACTGGATAAAGTTTAGTTGTCTAGCCACTCCAAAGCCCAAAATAATATTTAGTTCTCACAGTATACCAAAAAGTGCCTCAGTTTTGGGAGGTAGAGATTTTCAGTGGGAAGACAGCAGAGTTCTCCAACATGGTTTTAAACTTCCTCAGGGCAAAAACAATCTCTTATATATCTTTGATTCCTCAATAAATAGAATATTGCCTCACAAAGAGGAAACACATTACGTCTGTGTTTTAACTTATTAACTCAACAAGTAAGGCAGTGATGGAAGCTGTCTGGTGTGGACAAAACAAGTAGTTATTTGTCCAACTATTTTTCCTTTTCCAAAAAGAAGTTCCTCTGCTGACATGTAGGTAGGATTCAAATATTTGAGAGTCTGGTAATCCAATTAGAATACTGAAAACAGAGGTGCCTGGGTGGCTCAGTTGGTTAAGCATCTGCCTCTGGCCTGGGTCATAATTCTGGGTCCTGGGATAGAATTGGGATAGTCCTGGGCTCCCTGCTCAGTGGGGGGTCTTCTTCTCCCTCTGCCCCTCCACCACTCATGCTCTCTCTCTCTCAAATAAACAAAATCTTAAAAAAAAAAAGAACACTGGAAATAACTAAAACTTGAAAAACCTGCTAATGCTTTTCAAACTCTTCTTAACCTTTTAGACCTTGTAAAAACAACTAATATTACTCTAACAAGAAAATTCCTGGGGATTGCAAAGTTATTGGAATGTTTTCCAAACACTTAAAGAAGAGTTAGACAATTTCTGAAATGATTAATAATGAGATTCAAAAAGTCAATAATGTCACATTTTTAACGAAGGGCTTTCATCTTTCATAGAAATAACAACCATAATAACAAAATGAAATAAGCACACACTATTTTTGAGCTCTAGCTAGCCTCCAGGCTGTGTTACAAGGTTTTTGATGCCGTCAGTTGTCTCCACGTTGCCAGGGTCCTCTGAGAGAAGGCTGTTGTCAGCCCCGAGTGTGGCTCTGCCTGGCACAAATCAAGCTCTTCACTTGACTGGCGGTTTACTTCCATTGCACCTGACAGAAGATGAAGGTGAGCCACAGAGAGGTCCACGGCAGGTTCAGTGTCACCCAGCTTCGAAGTGTGAAGCCAAGGTAGGAGCCCAGGCCAAGGGCTCCCCACTACCTTTCTGTGACATCCCAAGCTCCACAGCATGGCTGCTCAGAGGTGGGGAGCGGACAAGGCAGACAGAGGAGGACGAGGGCACAAGGGCCGGGGGGGAGGAGCAGGGTTTGGAAACTGCATGGACACAGCCCACCAACAAAAGAATGATTAGGAGAAAGCCAGGTCCCGGAATGGGAAAAGCTATGGAAGACAGCCCTCCTGGAACCGGCTCAATGGAAGCAGCAAGAATGCATGCGTGGATCTGATTAAAAACAAACAAGCTAGCCGAGGGATGATGAAAGCAAGAACGGGGGCCAGTCACAGAACCTCGGTCAAAGCACACTGAGTACCGAGAGTGCAAAGGGGGCCTGACACAGGGCCACGCCCCAGAAGGCAGGTCGCTGGGGTTCTTGCTGCTCAGAG